TCTTAAGTTCCTAAATTTCTCTCGGGTTTTCCCTGATTCTTTCGGATTCTGGTCGATTTTCTCAGATTTTTCCGGTTTCTTTCACATTCTCTTGGATTTTTATGGATCCTTCCAGATTCTTTCGGATGCTATCGGTTTTTCTCTGATTTTTTTTGGACTTTGTTGGTTCTTCTCGGATTCTCTTGCATTATTCTTTTGGGTCCTTCTGGAATATCTCCAGTCTTCTAGGAATCAGGTAAGATTATTTCATATTCTTTCGGATTATTTTCGTATTCTTTCTAATTCTCTCGCATTCTTTCAGATTCTACTGGATTCTCTTCAATTATTTCACGAATTCACTCGGATTCTTTCGGATTCTTCTTGATTCTCTTGCATATATTCGATGTTTTTTCGGATTCTGTAGTATTATTTTGGATTCTTTATGTCTTCTTTCGGATTCTATCAGATTCACTTGGAATCGCTGTGGGATTCTCCAGGATACTGAAATATGATAATTTAGTTTTCGATTTCTTTCGGATTTCTCGAATTTTCTTTGAATTCCTCTGATTCTTTCGAAATTTTTTTAGGATTTTTTTCCTTTTTCGTGTTCTTATGATTCTTTGTGATTTTGAGTTCCTGGTGTTTTTTTTTGTTCTTTGGGCTCCTGGAGTTCCATAGGTTCCTTGGTTTCTCTCGGTTTTTCTGGAATTCTCCAGGATGCTGAAATAAGATAATTTAGTTTTCAAGTTCTTTCAGATTTCTCTGATTTTCTTCGGATTCTTTCGAAATTTTTTCGGTTCTTGGAATTTTTTCGTTTTTCGTGTTTTTCCCATTCTTTGTGTTTCTTTTGTTCTTTGGATTCCTAAGGTTTTTTAAGTTCCTAAATTTCTCTCGGGTTTTCCCTAATTCTTTCGAATTCTGGTCGATTTTCTCAGATTTTTCCGGTTTCTCTCACATTCTCTTGGATTTTTATGGATCCTTCCAGATTCTTTCGGATTCTATCGGTTTTTCTCTGATTTTTTTTGGACTTTGTTGGTTCTTCTCGGATTCTCTTGCATTATTCTTTTGGGTCCTTCTGGAATATCTCCAGTCTTCCAGGAATCAGATAAGATTATTTCATATTCTTTCGGATTATTTTCGTATTCTTTCTAATTTTCTCGCATTCTTTCAGATTCTACTGGATTCTCTCGAATTATTTCACGAATTCACTCGGATTCTTTCGGATTCTTCTTGATTCTCTTGCATATTTTCGATGTTTTTTCGGATTCTGTCGTATTATTTTGGATTCTTTATGTCTTCTTTCGGATTCTATCAGATTCATTCGGAATCGCTCTGGGATTCTCCAGGATACTGAAATATGATAATTTAGTTTTCGATTTCTTTCGGATTTCTCGAATTTTCTTTGAATTCCTCTGATTCTCTCGAAAATTTTTTAGGATTTTTTTCCTTTTTCGTGTTCTTACGATTCTTTGTGATTTTGAGTTCCTGGTGTTTTTTTTGTTCTTTGGGCTCCTGGAGTTCCGTAGGTTCCTTGGTTTCTCTCGGTTTTTCTGGGATTCTCCAGGATGCTGAAATAAGATAATTTAGTTTTCAAGTTCTTTCAGATTTCTCTGATTTTCTTCGGATTCTTTCGAAATTTTTTCGGTTCTTGGAATTTTTTCGTTTTTCGTGTTTTTCCCATTCTTTGTGTTTCTTTTGTTCTTTGGATTCCTAGGGTTTCTTAAGTTCCTAAATTTCTCTCGGGTTTTCCCTGATTCTTTCGGATTTTGGTCAATTTTCTCAGATTTTTCCGGTTTCTCCCACATTCTCTTGGATTTTTATGGATCCTTCCAGATTCTTTCGGATTCTATCGGTTTTTCTCTGATTTTTTTTGGATTTTGTTGCTTCTTCTCGGATTCTCTCGCATTATTCTTTTGGGTCCTTCTGGAATATCTCCAGTCTTCCAGGAATCAGGTAAGATTATCTCATATTCTTTCGGATTCTTTTCGTATTCTTTCTAATTGTCTCGCATTCTTTCAGATTCTACTGGATTCTCTCGAATTATTTCACGAATTCACTCGGATTCTTCTTGATTCTCTTGCATATATTCGATGTTTTTTCGGATTCTGTAGTATTATTTTGGATTCTTTATGTCTTCTTTCGGATTCTATCAGATTCACTTGGAATCGCTCTGGGATTCTCCAGGATACTGAAATATGATAATTTAGTTTTCGATTTCTTTCGAATTTTTCGAATTTTCTTTGAATTCCTCTGATTCTTTCGAAATTTGTTTAGGATTTTTTTTCCTTTTTCGTGTTCTTACGATTCTTTGTGATTTTGAGTTCCTGTTTTTTTTTTGTTCTTTGGGCTCCTGGAGTTCCATAGGTTCCTTGGTTTCTCTCGGTTTTTCTGGAATTCTCCAGGATGCTGAAATAAGATAATTTAGTTTTCAAGTTCTTTCAGATTTCTCTGATTTTCTTCGGATTCTTTCGAAATTTTTTCGGTTCTTGGAATTTTTTCGTTTTTCGTGTTTTCCCATTCTTTGTGTTTCTTTTGTTCTTTGGATTCCTAAGGTTTTTTAAGTTCCTAAATTTCTCTCGGGTTTTCTCTGATTCTTTCGAATTCGGGTCGATTTTCTCAGATTTTTCCGGTTTCTCTCACATTCTCTTGGATTTATATGGATCTTTCCGGATTCTTTCGGATTCTATCGGTTTTTCTCTGATTTTTTTTTTGATTTTGTTGGATCTTCTCGGATTCTCTTGCATTATTCTTTTGGGTCCTTCTGGAATATCTCCAGTCTTCCAGGAATCAGGTAAGATTATTTCATATTCTGTCGGATTATTTTCGTATTCTTTCTAATTCTCTCGCATTCTTTCAGATTCTACTGGATTCTCTCGAATTATTTCACGAATTCACTCGGATTCTTCTTGATTCTCTTGCATATATTCGATGTTTTTTCGGATTCTGTAGTATTATTTTGGATTCTTTATGTCTTCTTTCGGATTCTATCAGATTCACTTGGAATCGCTCTGGGATTCTCCAGGATACTGAAATATGATAATTTAGTTTTCGATTTCTTTCGAATTTCTCGAATTTTCTTTGAATTCCTCTGATTCTTTCGAAATTTTTTTAGGATTTTTTCCTTTTTCGTGTTCTTACGATTCTTTGTGATTTTGAGTTCCTGGTGTTTTTTTTTGTTCTTTGGGCTCCTGGAGTTCCATAGGTTCATTGGTTTCTCTCGATCCTGTTAGATTTTTCCCGATTCTTTCGAATTCTGTACGACTTTTTCGGATTTCTTTCACATTCTGTTGGTTTCTTATGGAATGTTGCGGATTTTCTCATATTTTTAAGTAAAATTTGTTTTTTTTTTTTTGATAATTTAGCTTCTCAGGGACACCAGTGAATAATTTAATGTTAAACGTGTACGAATGAATCGTCAGTGAAGCTACTTAGGTGATTGATTACATAGTGAAAAAAATTAATCTGACTTTTTCAACTTATTTAAAAAAGAGTTGTGTCTCTGATGACGCCATCAAAGAACTTTGTTATCTCAAGAGTAAGAAAAGTTTTCTGTAAATAACTTGAAACCATATTATGTGTTAATTAATTTTATAGCTGTTATTACAACTAGGGAAATATGAATACTATATTTCCCGAGGTTGGCTAGTTACATCCCGAGGGTTAAACCCGAGGGATGTATAGACAACCAAGGGAAATAATTCATATTTCCCGTGTTGTAATCAATAGTTTTTTTCTGATTGATACAATAATGTTGCAAAAAATATTGGATTCTAAATTTTTGAATTAATCGGATTGGTAACGTTGCTAAGGGCCGTGTTTGTAAATATTGGCTGCTTTGATTGTCGCGTCCTGTCATAAATAAAATTGATGAAATGTCGAACTACGTGCTATCACAAGCGGCGAAAGCCCGTGAATGTTTGGTTCACGTGAAATCTAAAGCTGGTTACAGTAAAGTGTATGAAGACTTTCAAGAGTGGAGAAGAGGAAATTCGGTGAATGGTGTCGACGAAAATATTTTGCTTGCATTTTTTGAAGATTTGGTATTTTGCTATGACTTTTGTTATTTTTGACGTATGACTAATTTATTCTATCCGTAGTCGCACAAATATTCACCAAATACGTTGTGGCCCAAATTATCGATGCTAAGGTCAATGTTACATTTAAGGGAAAAAACTGATGTTAAACTGTTCGATGAAGTAGAAGCATTTGTGAAGAATAAAAATAAAGGATACGTTCCTAAAAAATCAGAGGTGTCTCGACAACAGCTCAAAAAATTTTTGCGAGAAGCTCCTAATGACATTTTTTTGATGTATAAGGTAAAAATTTCATTGTGATTCTCCTCTATTGAATAGATTGTTACATCTGTAATTTTGAAGGTCGCTTTAATTATGGAAATCTTTGGCGCTTGCAGAACGAACGAATTGGTGAATATGTTCTCTTCCGATATCGAAGATCGTGGGTCGGTGATCGTTTAAGACTGCAACTGAACTGAATGCTCTTAGTAAGGAAACGACCAACTCATTGACGAATTGCGAACAAGATTCTTCATCGTTTGTATCTGGTTGTAACCGTTTTAGCGGAAATTTTGAGAATTGCAATTTTTATTTTGGTTCTGAAAAGTAGCGTTACAAATGCAACAACTTTGTTAGTTCATAAATTATTGTTATAATTTTTGTTGCTATAATTAATAAATAAAAAAAATTTATAGTGAAATATGACGATTCATATTTCCCTTGGGACAATATGAGCATTTCATATTTCCCTTGGGAAATATTAGTGTGTTATGACATATGGTAACTAAGGCAATATGATTCAATATTGTATCAATCAGAAAAAAAATTAATACTTTACTCGTTTCTATGTAATAAATAATTCAATTACTAGTGCGCATGTAGTTATGCAACACACAATACACTAATTGTACTAGAAAATGTCTAATTTAACTGTGCTTTTAAATAGTTCTGTATAGTTGTAACTTTTTTTGGAAAAATGTAGGTGTGTAGGAGAAATAAAAGACCGTCTAATAATATATTACATTTTATTTATAATCATTTTAATAATCATAGGTTTCCTAACGCAAACATAGAGCAGCTTAGGGCACACTATCAACCGAACAACAATGTAAAAGATGTTAAATTATAAATACACCGGAAATAAGTATGTAGCAAACAAAGAACCTCTCGGTGATCCAAAGCAGATGTTCCTTCGGACCACGAACCTGACGTAAGATCTCTTAATAACCAGCCAACTCGGCGAAAGTGGAGTCCATTTCGTCCGCAAGCGACTTGTATCTATCCTTGTTGATACCAAGCTCGTCTAAAATAAAAACCACGTTAGAAAGAACCCTCCCCAACCCTTCCAAGCCCAAGCAGCAAGCCTACCTCAAGCAAAGCAAGCATCGCCAGGAGTGTTAAATGTAGGGTAAAGCCTAAACTAAGAACTAACTAAAAGCAGGGAAGGAACGTGTTATTTTTGCTGGCTCAGCGAGGACATCTCGACAAACGTCTTGTCGATGTCCGTCACGATATTGTGATATTTAGCTTTTTCGCGAAGCACGAAATCTGCAAAAGCAAAACTGTGAAGTGGCAGCCCTCAAGCCGAAACCGCCTCCAAGCTCTACCTTCGAGCCTGTCGACCTCCTTCTGGAGCTTCTTCACAGTCTTTTCCGCGTATTCGGCCCGGGCTTCCGCCTCCTTGAGCTTGACGGTGAGCGTCTTGAGCTGCTTCTTGAACTCCTCGACTCTCTGGTTGGCCTTCTCCTCCGACACCTCCAGAGACTTGAGCGAGTTGCCTACGACTTTCAGTTCTTCCTCGAGCTCCATGATCTTGGCGTCGCCGCCCTTCACGCGGTCTTCAGCCACCTCGAGCTCGTCCTCAACGAAGGCCAGCTTGCGCGACACTTCGTCGGACTTGTTGTCGGCGTCCTCGGCGAGCAGACGCGCCTCCTTGAGCTGGTTGGTGAGTTGGTCCATGCGCTCCTCGTCCTGCTGGGAGCGGTTCTCCAGCACTTTGCACATACTAAATTTGAATTAGTCTGGGGGGCGGTATGGGGGCGGTACGTACCGGCTGGACTCGTCGGCGGCTTGGGAGGCTTCGGCGAGCTTGGTGGTAGCCGTGGCCAGACGCTCCTCAGAACGCTCCAAATCCTCCTCAATGAGCTGGACTTTGCGGTTAAGGGACGCCATCTCGGACTCCGCCTGAACAACAAAAAGGAGTTAGAAGACGATTTTGTGAGAGAACGGGGTAGTACGTTGGTGAGGGCCTTCTCTTTGTCCTCGAGGTCCTTGTTGGCCTGCTCCAGCGAGTTCTTGGTCGAGGTGAGGTCGCCTTCCACTTGGGCCAACTTCTTCTGGAGATCTCTCATCTCCTCGTTGAGCTTCTCGACGCGGAGGTTGGCGTCCTTGGCCTGGCCCTCCATCGCGTCGGCCTTGTCTTGAGCATTGTCCTTCTCAAGCTTCATCGCTTGCATCTTCTTCTTGATCGCGTCCATGGCGGCGGCTGGGGGCTTTTACGCTTATCCAAGAACAAGAAACAAGTGACTGCTGGAACAACACACCAAGAATTAACACGAAAGAAAGTTCGAACCGACAAATAAAAATAAAAAAATCAAAGTCGGGTCATCCATCGCGGATATTTAAAAATAGCTCATGGCCTCACCAAGTGCAAAGGCAAATAATTCCGTACGACCGAATTAATTGCCCCCTAATTTATTTACCCAAGTAGATTGACTGCGAGCGTCTCGGCGCAATTAAACCCCAATCAAACTTCGATAAAATAGAAAGATCTTTGTATCATCTTGAATGCGCTATTCGCACGCAAAACTGTTTATACGAGCCCGTTGGAATGAAACCCGGGTTCTAAAATTAGCCCGCTCCTAGTTTAGCCAGAATGAAGAGAGTTTATGTCACAGTCCGCGTATGTTCTGGAGGTGTTATAGCAGCTGTAACACCCATCCGAATACGAAATGGACGCAACACACCCGTACGAAAATACCTCGCGACCCACATAAATCCCGAATTTGCAAAAAATCCAAATTTCTGGTTTTTTGGGAAAGCAGAGTGGATGAAATTAGCGAAAGCGGTTCCAGGGGTGGTTAAGGTCGTTGCAAAAATTTTTGCCGTGTTGGTTTTTCTTAAGGGTGGTTGGTGTTAATTGGTGGTTGAAGGTGGTGGCGAAGCATGCCGGGGTTTAGTGGCCGGGGGTTAGTTTCGCAAACACAACACTTGTTACCTACCTGTGGTGAGCCTGAGGCGTTCAGAGGTTGACGCTGTCCTAGGAGCTACAGGCATCGCGACGGCTACGACGTCGACGGTGGCGTCTCCCACGCGTCCCCTCTTGCGACGAACGCTCTTCCCCTAATACCCCTACCAAGGTTTACTGAGTAAGGCGGGATGCGGTGGGTCAGAGGTTCTCAAAATGTCTCAGCGGCGGGTGAGAGTAAAAGTGGACAAGAATGAAATTTTTATTAATAATAATTTTTGTTTCACAATGTAGAATTGTCTCAAGGGTGTACTTTTTGTTTTTATTTATTCACAGACATGTTTAAAATTTGTATATTTGGGATAATATAGAGGTCAGGTCAGGTCAGGTCAGCTCATAATTACCCCACCTTCGCGTCTGTGGCACCGCCCACCCACCCGTTTTATTGCATTTTTTTATTTTGAATTTCATTTGCCATTTTATTTGGTCAAGTAGCGGCCAAAACTACGCTTAAAAAATTGGTCGAAAGTTATTTTCACAGAACTTCCCCCGCTTCTGAAGTACAGTTCAACAAGTACTGCCTGATAACCTCTATGGAGTAAAAACAATATAGAGGGTACTAGTCACAGTGTAATAGAAAAAAATAAGGTTTCACCTTCTCTAACAAGGCAATTCGAAGGATCGAGAAGATTTAATATTGTTAAAAAAAGACACTTGGGCCCCCGAGAAGGTTCCGCCTTCTTTAAAAAAGGACAGTTGGGACCCCCGAGAAGGTTTCATGTTTTTAAAAAAAGACAGTTGGGACTCCCGAGAAGGTTTCACATTCTTAAAAAAATACAATTGGGCCCCCTAAGATGGTTTTACGTTTTTAAAAAAGACAGTTGGGACCCTTGAGAAGGTTTCACATTTAACAAAAAAAACATTTGGCGCCCCCGAGAAGGTTTTACATTTTTAAAAGGGACAATTGGGACCCACGAGAAGGTTTCACTTTAAATAAAGCCATTTGGGGCTGCCGCGAAGGTTTTACATTTTTGAGAAAGGACAGTTGGGACCCCCGAAAAGATTTTACATTCTAAAATAAAACATTTGGCGTCCCCGAGAAGGTTTCTCATTAAAAAAAAAGATATTTCGGGTCCCTGAGAAGGTTTTACATTTTTAAAAAGAAAGTTGGGAGTCCCGAGAAGGTTTCACATTGTAAATTAAAATATTTGGCACTCCCGAGAAGGTTTTACATTTTGAAAATACACAACTGAGACTCTCGAGAAGGTTTCACATTCTTAAATAAAATATTTGGCGTCCCCGAGAAGGTTTTACATTTTTAAAAAACAAAATTGGGACCCACGAGAAGGTTTCACTTTAAATAAAGCCATTTGGGGCCCCCGAGAAGGTTTTACTTTTCTGAAAACGACAGTTGGGACCCCCGAAAAGTTTTCACATTCTAAAATAAAACATTTGGCACCCCCGAGAAGGAGGTTTTACATTTTTAAAAAACACAATTGGGACCCACGAGAAGGTTTCACATTCTTAAAAAAATACATTTGAGACCCTGAGAAGGTTTTAAATTAAAGAAAAGACAGTTGGGACACCCGAGAAGGTTTCTTATTAAAAAAAAGATATTTCGGCTCCCTGAGAAGGTGTAACTTTTTTAAAAAGGAAGTTTGGACCCCCGAGAAGGTTTCACATTCTAAAATAAAATATTTGGCGTCCCCAAGAAGGTTTGACATTTTTAAAAAACACAACTAAGATCCCCCAGAAGGTTTCACATTCTTAAAAAAATACATTTGGGGCCTCCGAGAAGGTTTACATTTTTAAAAAGAACAATTGGAACCCCCGAGAAGGTTTCACATTCTAAAATAAAATATTTGGCATCCCCGAGAAGGTTTTACATTTATAAAAAACAAAATTGGGACCCACGAGAAGGTTTCACTTTAAATAAAGCCATTTTGGGCCCCCGAGAAGGTTTTACTTTTCTAAAAACGACAGTTGGGACCCCCGAAAAGTTTCACATTCTAAAATAAAACATTTGGCATCCCCGAGAAGGATGTTTTACATTTTTAAAAAACACAATTGGGACCCCCGAGAAGGTTTCACATACTAAAATAAAATATTTGGCGTCCCCGAGAAGGTTTTACATTTTTAAAAAACAAAATTGGGACCCACGAGAAGGTTTCACTTTAAATAAAGCCATTTGGGGCCCCCGAGAAGGTTTTACTTTTCTGAAAACGACAGTTGGGACCCCCGAAAAGGTTTCACATTGTAAAATAAAACATTTGGCACCCCCGAGAAGGAGGCTTTAGATTTTTAAAAAACACAATTGGGACCCACGAGAAGGTTTCACATTCTTAAAAAAATACATTTGACACCCTAAGAAGGTTTTAAATTAAAAAAAAAGACAGTTGGGACACCCGAGAAGGTTTCTTATTAAAAAAAAAAAGATATTTCGGCCCCCTGGGAAGGTGCAACTTTTTTAAAAAGAAAGTTTGGACCCCCGAGAAGGTTTCACATTCAAAAATAAAATATTTGGCGTTCCCGAGAAGATTTGACATTTTTAAAAAACACAACTAAGATTCCCCAGAAGGTTTCACATTCTTAAAAAAATACATTTGGGGCCTCCGAGAAGATTTACATTTTTAAAAAAACAATTGGAACCCCCGAGAAGGTTTCACATTCTAAAATAAAATATTTGGCATCCCCGAGAAGGTTTTACATTTTTAAAAAACAAAATTGGGACCCACGAGAAGGTTACACTTTAAATAAAGCCATTTGGGGCCCCCGAGAAGGTTTTACTTTTCTAAAAACGACAGTTGGGACCCCCGAAAAGGCTTCACATTCTAAAATAAAACATTTGGCACCCCCGAGAAGGAGGTTTTACATTTTTAAAAAACACAATTGGGACCTACGAGAAGGTTTCACATTCTTAAAAAAATACATTTGAGACCCTGAGAAGGTTTTAAATAAAAAAAAAGACAGTTGGGACACCCGAGAAGGTTTCTTATTAAAAAAAAGATATTTCGGCCCCCTGGCAAGGTGTAACTTTTTTAAAAAGGAAGTTTGGACCCCCGAGAAGGTTTCACATTCTAAAATAAAATATTTGGCGTCCCCGAGAAGGTTTGCCATTTTTAAAAAACACAACTAAGATCCCCGAGAAGGTTTCACATTCTTAAAAAAATACATTTGGGGCCTCCGAGAAGGTTTTACTTTTTTAAAAAAGACAGTTGGGACACCCGAGAAGGTTTTTCGTTTAAAAAAACACAATTGAAACCCCTGAGAAGGTTTCATGTTCTTAAAAAAGTACATTTGGTGCCCTCGAGAAGGTTTCGCCCTCTTTTAAAAAAGACAGTTAGGATCCCCGAGACGGTTTTATTCTTAAAAAAAAAAACAGTTGGAACTCCTGAGAAGGTTTCCCATTCTCCAAAAAAAGAGACAGTTGGGGCCACCGAGGAGGTTTCACCTTCATTAAAAAAACACAGTTGAGACCCCCGACAAGGTTTCAGCTTGTTTAAGAAAAGAGAGTTGGGACCCCTGAGAAGGTTTCGTTCTTCAAAAAAGACAGTTGGGGCCCTCGAGAAATTTTCACCTTCTTTAAAGAAGACAATTCGGGCCTCCGAGAAGATTTCAGATTCCTAAACAAGACAGTTGGGACCCCTGAGAGGTTTCACATAGTTAAAAAAATACAGCTGGGGTCCTCGAAAGTTTCACATTCTTAAAAAAACGACAGTTGGGGCCGCGAAAAGGTTTTACATTTTTAAATAAAGAGGGGCGTAATCTCACCTTTTCGAGAAAGTGGAGAATTTCATCGGTAAAAAGTAGCTAAATCTAACAAAAGAACCTCAAAGTGGCCCCGCCCACCCACCCGTTTTCTTGTTGATCGCTATTTTTATTGTACAAAAAGTGGATTTTACGTTGATAGTGATTGGAACGTAAACAAAAAAGGTGAAACTAAACCCGCCCACCTCCCATTTGGTGGTTCATTGGCTTATTTTATTTATCGTAATATGAAAACAGAATTCTATTTAGGCAACTTTTGATCACTCATTTTATTGGACATTATATTGAATTTCATTGGGTTATATTATTTACTGTGAGACGACAATTGAATTCTTATTTTTTGTGCATGATATTTTTGCGTACGTGGAGATTTTTAGATTTTGGGCTCTTTTGACGGAACTATTTTATTGTCGGGGCGATTTTGTGGGAGTGGTTTTGTCCTGGACCAGTCAAAAAAACATATTCCATGTACAAGCACGACAAGAACGCCCTCATCCTCTCGGTGGTCCACTGCAGAGACCTCCCGGCCAAGAACCCCAACCCAGGTTCTAGCGACCCCTACGTCAAGCTGCAGCTCCTCCCAGACAAGCAACACAAAGTCAAAACCCACGTCTTGAGAAAAACCCGCAATCCCGTCTACGACGAAGACTTCACCTTCTACGGAATCAACTTCAACCAGTTACCCAACATCACCCTTCACTTCGTGGTGCTCAGTTTCGACCGCTACAGCCGCGACGACATCATCGGTGAAGTCTTCTGCGCCCTCAACTCCATCGATGTAACTCAGATCGAGAACCAGCAGATGGCTCTATGCAGGGAGATCCAGCGCAGGAGTCTTAACGTCGGTGTTGTTGTTTAAAAAAGCGATTTGTGTTACAGTGGGGTTGGGTTTCAGATTCGTTCCCAAGGTCGCGGTGAACTCCTGGTGTCTTTGTGTTGGCAACCGGCGGCTAACAGACTCACGGTGGTGGTACTCAAGGCCCGAAACCTCCCCAAGATGGACGTGACCGGGTTGGCGGATCCCTACTTGAAAATCTACCTTTTGTATAACGGCCAGCGGATCGCTAAGAAGAAGACCCACGTTAAAAAGCGGACACTGAGTCCAGTTTTTAACGAGAGCTTCGTGTTTGATATTCCCGCAGGAGGTGAAGGCCTTGATAACGTCAGTTTGGAATTTTTGCTCCTGGATTGGGATCGAGTGACCAAAAACGAGATATGTTTGTTGTGATGTTTAGTGGGATGGGGTCTAATTGGTGGACCGGTAGGTGATTGGGCCGCTCGAGATGGGCGGCGCTAAGTGCACGGGACGGTGCTCCACCATTGGAAGCAAGTCTGCAACTTGCCCCGTGGACAGAGCCGATTGGTACAAACTTGGAGAATAAGGAGGAGCCGACTGACTGAAAACTGAGGGGTTTAGTTGCAACTATAGCGCACGGCTGGTCCGAAAGTCACGCTCTTCACAGCAGTACGATCGCTAAGCTTCTGGACCAGCCGCTATAAATATATTTGTGTACTCGTAAGCATTCACCGCAAAATCTGTTAGTATGCTTTGATGATTTTCCGCGTTAGGTTTTGTGTAAATATGGATTAATGTTTCAATTAGGCTTCGAGAACTGGTGGACCCAAATTACCTATTATAGTTGAGTTAGCGGTTTAAAGAGGAGCAAGGCAAAGGGCAGGGTCGCGCTTAACAAGACTAAATTTCGAGATTAGCTTTGTTAAAAAAAGGGTTTGTGATATAGATTTAAGCTGACTTATACAAAGTACCAAGAAATGTAATCTAAATGTATTATACTTGATAATGCACTTTAGGGCAAGTTGCACGCTACTTGCATTCTAGAATGTCCAGTTCCTAAGTTTCGGTTCTAGAACCCCGAGGGGGACGTTTGGGCATTCCGTGGTGACGAAACGAGGTTTGGATTGGTTCAAATTTTCTCATACAGGTTACGATTATGGAAGATTTGACATACATTGAAAAGCTACTCTTAGCGGATTGTCACTGTTTTACGGGACGACCTCTGATATTGTTTGAAGATATTGTTTGTGTTGGAGATAATACATTTGCCGATTTTAACCCTTTACTCCTAAAATAGCGGTAGAATTGATGTTTCTTCTAGAATTTACAACGAATAAACGCACATTCTCAGTCAAATATAATACTCTTTAAGAAAATCCGCAAATGTATTTGGCGCACCTTACAGCGTAGATCTAGTCTAACAATAAGAATAATACTAATATGTAAATTTCTGCATAATGTACTTATGTAGGGTACTAATCACGTAGGTTTAGTACTAAACTAATTTGCAATCTTTATCTGTATGCTAGTACACGATCTGTTGTTATTGTTGCTTTTTAACAGCAGTTAACGATTTCTCGTTTTCGAGGTGCATCTTTCTCTATAAGCAGTGCACATCTGTATATATGGATCACCTACTTTTTATTCCATTGGTTTAAGTGTTTTCTTTCGGAATTTGCAAATTTTGCTTTCGACTGTCTACATTTTGAAAATCTTATTTTTTGAAATTTATGAATGTATATAATTATTAAATAAATGTTTCAATGGTTTTTAACTATTCTTTTGGATTGAGAGGGCGTTCTGGACTATATTTTTATCTCCCAAGCGTAAACTAAGTAAGTATAGTCATCGAGTTATAATTTCTCGATGTTTCATGACCCCTAGAGGACGCTAGTACACGTAATCTCCGAAACTGCTAGACCGATTGTTCTCATCAAGTAGATTTAATGACTTCATTTCAAAGAATTCTATGTTTATTTTATTTAGCTGTTCTACACAAAGATAAGTATTCCTATAAGTGTAGTGTATGAATCCGCTTTGAGATTTCCCTAATCGTCCAAATTTATTTATTAGATTTTTTAGATTTGGTTATACACGATGACGATGATGAAAAAAATTAATGAATCAGTCAATTTATTTTGTTCTTGTACTATCTTGCTATTAATTTTTACAAGATTAATAGGTATAAAGTCAGTCTAGCCCTAGCAAGCACTAGCCTCGCCCACCCACCCTATATTTTCTCATAGGATATAGTATCTGCCAAAATCAGTTTTATCTTAACAAGTACTAGCCCCACCCACCCACCCTCTCTTTTCTTATAGGATATAGTATTTGCCAAAATCAGTCTTATCTTACCAAGTATTAACCCCGCCCACCCGCCCCCTATTTTCTCAGAGGGTGTCATTTGCTAAAATAAGTCTCACCTTCGCAAGTACTAGCCCCGCCCACCCACCCTCTATTTTCTCATAGGATATAGTATTTGCCAAAATCAGTCTTATCTTAGCAAGTACTATCCCCGCCCACCCACCCTCTATTTTCTCATGGATATACTATTTGCCAAAATTAGTCCTATCTTAACAAGTAATAACCCCGCCCACCTACCCCCTATGTTCTCAGAGGATATGTCATTTGCCAAAATCAGTCTTATCGTAGCAAGTACTAGCCCCGCCCACCCACCCTTTATTTTCTCATAGGATATAGTATTTGCCAAAATCAGTCTTATCTTACCAAGCATTAACCCCGCCCACCCGCCCCCTATGTTTTCAGAGGATATGTCATTTGCCAATTATGCACTTTAGAGCAAGTTGCACGCTACTTGCATTCTAGAATGTCCAGTTCCTAATTTTCGGTTCTAGAACCCTGAGGGGGACGTTTGGGCATTCCGTGGTGACGAAACGCGGTTTGGATTGGTCCACATTTTCCCATACAGGTTATGATTATGGGCGATTTTCTGATATTGTTTGAAGAAGAACTCTTTAAGAAAATCCGCAAATGTATTTGATTATATTAAGAATAATACTAATATGTAAATTTCTGCATTGTGTGAATTAATCAGATCTGGTAAAAAGTGGTAGCGAACGAATACTTCGAAATCCAATATGTAAACAAAAAGCGTTTAAATTCCTGTTTAAAATTGACTTGGGTTTGAATTTTACAAATTGTAGTAAGTAAGTAATTTAAACATCTGGTCAAATCAAAATGCAAACTAGATCGAGGAAAGTAGAGACAATTAACCGATCTGACGAATTTCCCACCAACTATCGCATCGCCTAATTGATCTCAGCAAAAGCGAAAGTGCGACATTGGTCCATATATAAGTCGACCCAGTGACCGATATGTGACTAAGCCACCCATTGTAACACCAACGCAAATGTGCGTCTCGTCGATATTTTCACCCCATTTTTATGTCCGCACCGTCCCCATTTTTCGCCACCTTTTAGCGCAGAGCACGAAAAACGTATTACCATAATTCGGGGCCCGCCGAAGTCGTAGATCCCGAGATACGCTGTTGTTTTAGGACCGTACCGATATGGAATAAACGCATAATGTCTTGGGCAAGGCCATATTTAACATTGAGGCAGCGTTCGCCGCTTACAGTTATTTTTAGTAATGTATGTATTTGGTAAGTAGGATTTGTGGCAAAGGAGACGCGATTTGTATTTTAGACGGAATGTGGAGGAACTTTGGGAGAGAAGCGGCGCTGGGAAGTGGGTGAGCGGCGAGGAGGGAGTAATTAGGTTTTGACTAAATTGAGGAGACGAAGTCGAGTAAAAATATCGGACGAGGTTTTAAAACAATTTTTTTTTAAACGGGGTTTCGTGGTGAGGGAGATGCTCGCTCTAACAACTTGCCGAAGTGTCATAGAATGATTTAGTTACCTGGGTTTTGCACTCTGAAGTGGCACTAAACACAAAATAGAACTCACATCATCGCTTGCTTACATGTCGGACTTTGAGAGCACGATAACGCATAATTCACATCGAGTGCACATTCATCATTATTGCATTCTATTTATGTAAAATACGTATCATAACGGCTTTCTATTCTTGCAATATTATATTTAATTCCATGCTTCATAGTTTGTCTCTACTTTCAGTAAGCCGTTTGCATATATTTTACACGCAGAAATCGTTTTGTGTTTGAGCAATGACTGCATTTGTAGGGCTAAGTAACTCGAAATAAAATGCACACATTCTTATTAAAAGTTCAGTAAAATTTAAATCAATCTGTCAATTCACTTCAGAAATTTGATGACGTCTTCTTATTTAAATCACACACTTGAAAAAAAATATATTAAAAAATATGTTTGTGTTTTGACGAAATGTTCTTTATTATTTGAACTACTCATAAACTTTCCGATTTTTCTGTAATTCTAAGAACACCAAATTTTTCTTATTAGTGTTATATTGTACATATTAGAATTTATGTATTTTCGTCCACAGAAAAATGATGATGTTTCAATTTTTATTTTAATCTAATCCTTATTATCCTAAAAAATATAGTTGATAAAACACAAGAATAATTTACTTTCTTGGAAGCCTGTGTAAATTTTTTATTACAATACAACCTAAACGTGCTCGCTGCGCTCGCTTTCTGGACGTTCACTATCTTTTTAGTTAATTTAGAGTGGAAATATTATGAGAAGAACATAGTGAGTCATTATTTAGGCTTTCACCACTGACACATAATTTAGGTTTTGAAATGGGGGCATTCTAAGAAATATATAAATTCACATATATTCTTGAGATTAAATACAATTATTATACAGTTTCTTCTATTGGTTTGTTCTTCTCAAAGTATTTCCACTCTACCTTCACGAGGGCACCTACCAGATATGTTTTAATAAACGCAACCGAAATATGCTCGCTGTGCTCATTCTCGAGAAGTTTATTAATTTTCAGCTCAATTTACCTTCTCGGAAACCTCTACGGAGACATTTTTTATTACAATAAAACCTGAACGTGCTCGCTGCGCTCGCTCTCTAAATGTTCACTATCTTTTTAGTTAATTTGGAGTAGAAATATTATGAAAAGAACATAGTGAGTCATTATTTAGGCTTTCACCACTGACACATAATTTACGTTTTGAAATGGGGGCATTCTAAGAAATATATAAATTCACATATATTCTCGAGATTAAATACAATTATTATATAGTTTCTTTTACTGGTTTGTTCTTCTCAAAGTATTTCCACTCTACCTTCAGGGGGGCACCTACCAGATATGTTTTAATAAACGCAACCGAAATATGCTCGCTGTGCTCATTCTCGAGAAGTTTATTAATTTTCAGCTCAATTTACCTTCTCGGAAATCTCTACGGAGACATTTTTTATTACAATAAAACCTGAACGTGCTCGCTGCGCTCGCTCTCTAAATGTTCACTATCTTTTTAGTTAATTTGGAGTAGAAATATTATGAGAAGAACATAGTGAGTCATTATTTAGGCTTTCACCACTGACACATAATTTACGTTTTGAAATGGGGGCATTCTAAGAAATAT